CTGAGCCACATTCCCAGCCCCAGTAGCCAAATTCTTAAGAAGACACTTGAGTGGTGAGGCTTCTGGTATAGGCCAGGAGGCACCCGTGGTTAAAGAGTGGAGAAGGGACAGAAAAGGGAGAAAAAGAATTAACCCGGGTCGTAGAAGCTTCCTGGAAGCGTAGAGCAGATGGAGGATCACCTGGGCATCCCCGAAGTGACCAGTCCACTGCAAATAGGCACAGAGGGCACAGCTCAGTCGTCACCGACGAAGTGCAGTCTGTGTGACCCTGTAAGGTCTAGGCCGCAAGCCACCTGACATCAGGAAAATTTTTCCACCGGAACGAGAGAATCAAGGAAGGAAAGACAGAGCCCCAGCAGAACGCAGCTCTGGGCTAGAAGTTCAGCTCCAGGCTGAACACAGCTCTGGTGGGGGAGGAAGAGACCAGGGGGCCTCTCTTGTGTAAACCCAGAAGCCTCAGGCCCCAAAGAAGTGGGTCGCCAGAGGATCCACTGCGACCAGTGAAGGTTTTAGTGGAGTGCATTCCCTCCTCCCTACTGAGCATCAGGAGAGTGCCGGAGGGAGTTGGTGAGCCGGGGAGGGGGAACCTTACCTAGACCCAATCAGTGGTGAGTGCAGGGAGCCCGCGCCCAAAAAGACAGACGAGGGTGAAATGTGTCATTGGTGATGGTGGTTGCAGAGACGGGGCTCGGTTTGTCAAGCACACTGTCTCCTGGGTTTCGGCACCACTGGAAGACTGGAAGACGCCACACCACACGACACAGATCACCAAAGAGGTTTCCACTTTATTACAAAAGGCTGTGTGTTTATATAGGTCTAAGGAGAGGTTGCAGGGCTGAGGCAGATAACAGGTTGCCCGTTTATTGGCAAGCTCTTCCATATGTCAGTTCCGGAGCCCAAGAAGTTAATTCTAATTGGGGCTAAGGCTTCCCACCAGCAGGGTTTGAACATTGGTGCCGGTGGGAACATTTCGTGCCAGTGAAAGAAACAAAGAGGAGAAAGAGGGTAGTTAGATGCCATGCTGGGGTTTTTCTTTGGGGTGCTGCTGCCGTTATATGTTTTCCCAACATTCCTCCCTTTTTGTTTTCTTAGGAATTGGGGTTGTGGCTCAGCAATTGAGCGCTCACCTCGAATGTGTGAGACCTGGGTTGGATCCTCAACACCACATAAAAATAAATAAGAGAAATAAAGGTATTGTGTCCAACTACAACTAAAAAAATAAATATTAAAAAAAAGAAACCACCTAAAAATGTGTGTCTCCCCCTTGCTTGCACGTTTTAAAGTTGACATCTGAAGTTTTCATTTTACCATTTTGTTTTTTCTTTAAACTTGAACAAGAGTGTTCATAGCAGACTTGTTCCAATTGTCCCAACTGGCAACAACCCAAATGTCTAGCAATGAGAGAATGGATTAAAAAAAATTGTGGATTTTCGTACTCAGCTATAAAAAGGAACAGAGTGGATGAATCTCCAAAACACTGTTTTTTTTTTTTATATATATTTTATTTACATTTTAGTTTTCAGCAGACACAACATCTTTGTTTGTATATGGTGCTGAGGATTGAACCCAGGCCGCACCCATGCCAGGGGAGCACGCTACCTCTTGAGCCACATCCCCAGCCCCTCCAAAACATTGTTATACAAAAAGAACCAGATGCAGAGTAGCTTGTGTATGGTTTTGTTTATCTGAATTCTTGTCCTTGTATTTTGTTAATATCAAACAGCTCTGGATTTAAAATATGATTTAGGGCTGGGAATGTAGCTCAGCAGTAGAGCATGTGCTTAGCATGCTTGGGGTCCTGGGTTCAGAAACCAAGAACCAGGCAATTAAAAAAAAAAAAAAACAAGCAATTTAAAAAAAAATTCAGGTCTGATTCAGACATGTACTTTTTATATCCTGGGCATGTCACCTAACCTCCTGAAGCCTCAATTTATTCATCTGTAAAATTGACACAATAATAAATAAGAATAGATTGTGAGACAATCCCAGTAATCAGATGCAGTTAATATCTCCTTCCTACATAAAGATCACACTATGAGAATAAGGCTAGAAACACTTATAGGCCCCAGCAGGTTCTCTTTCAAATGTAAAGACCATAAGGCTTACTGGTGGGTGCCAACATTCCAGTCAAATTCTTTTGTGGGGAGTGGGAATAGAAGGCAGGGCTAAACCCTGATGAAAGTGACAAAAAGGATTCAAATTCAAAGGCTAAGATAACAGTAGCTGGGAGTGGTGGCTCATGCCTACAATCCCAGCCAGTCTTGGAGCATCTGGGGCAGGAGGATGGTGAGTTCAAACCAGCCTTGGCCCTAAGCAACTCAGTGAGACTCTAAATAAAATACAAAATAGGGCTGGGGATGTGGCTCAGTGGTCGAGTGCCCCTGAGTTCAATGCCTGGTACCAAAACAACAAAAAACTCCTTTTGTGTTTTCTGCAATTCTACCTTCTTTATAAGTTAAATAGCCATATGCATGTGTACCTCTTATTAGAGATACCTAATTTTTCTAAATTATTTAATGGGGTAGGCAGGTTTTTAAAAAAGAATGCGAAGACCACTCTACTAAACAAATTGTGGGTCTAGTCATTTTCACTTCTCAGCATTGTTGTGGGGATCAAATGGGATCTCACAGTAAAAGCAGCTCTAAGTTTTGACACAGGAAGCCTCAGGGAGCAACAGGAGTATATCTTTTTTCCTTTTGTGATTATATTTTAAGTGCCATGGAGTACATGGAAACAACACCCACTTGGAGCAGGAACTGCCAGGGAAAGAGCCCAGAGGACGTGACATTTGGGTGGGTCGTGAGTGATGGTGAAATCTGTCATCTCTTTTTATGGCTGCAATCTGTCTGCTGTCTCTGGCATGTTTCCCACCTGGATTTCATCTGCATTGTATTTTATCTGATTTAGAAGGGCCCAGAGGGAAAACTCTAGGCCTTACCCCGACATGAGCATGCAGGGACCCCTTGTATCAGGTACCAAGTAGTGGTTGGTGATGGGTCCATATTTGCTAGACAGATGTATGTCACCAAGGGCAGGGTTGGGCCTTTTAAGAATTTCTGCCACTGTAGTGCTACAGGATTCCTGAGTTTCACCCACACATGGCTCTCTTCCCAAGCCCTAGCCAGTGGCCAACACGTACACCAATAAACTCACCCACTTGCCCAGCACCACCACCCCTGAAAGTGGCGAAATGCACACCGCACCCCGCAGGACAATCTTGTCTCTGGGAGACAGAGATAGAGTCTAGCATTTCGTAGACACTTGATAAGCATTGATAAGCATCTGGTGAATAATAAATGAATAACTATATTGGGATTAGGATATAGAAGTGAAAAACCAGCCTCTACCTCAGAGCAAAGCTTGTCCAAGGAAGGGACATGACATTTGTTCTTGAAAAGACCCACAGATCACTCCTAGGCACATTCCCACCCTGCTAAGTTGTTTATCTACAAATAACAGGAGAGATCTGCTGCACCAGGTGTCCCTGACTCAGTGAGGCTAGGTGGGGACCCATAGCAACCCCCTAGCAGCCACCAATCAGCATGAGATAGGGGAATACCTGGGATGCCAGATGACCCTCCCAATAGTTTATGGTGGTTGATAACGTGTTTGGAAACCATGTAGTTCAGCACGAATACCCCTCTTGGCTTAAACCAATCAGTTCAAATGAATCCCCCTCTTGTAGTAACCAATCACCCCTACCCAACTTGTTCCAGCCAGTGAATGTGCTAATCATGTTTTAGAGTTGTTATTTGATTTTCCCGAGGTGTGTGATGATTTGCTAAGAGATGCTATGATGTATGTGAAGTCCCTGCCTTCTCCAAAGAATGTATAAAACTGCTGCAAACCCTGGGCTCTGGGCCTCTCAGCATCACCAGTTGCTGTGTGCGCGGAGGACCAAGCTAGCTCGAAATAAACACCTCTTTGCTGCTTACATGGATCTTGGTCTGTGGTGGTCTTTTGGAGGTCCCGAATCCGAGCATAACAGGAGCTGCTGTTTAGAAAGAAATGAGTAGATTATGTGCCTGTTCCCAATCCTGAATGTGGATCAGAATCACTGGTGGAGCTATTCAGTATTCAGATTCTAGACTCCTACTCCTTGTCCACCTGCTGAACCATAATGAAGAGGGAGATACACAGAAAGGAACTACAAATTTCACTTTATTTGGGGGGATGCTGGGGATTGAACACAATGGGGCATTCTACCCCTAAGCTATATCCCCAGCCCTTTTATTTTGAGTCAGGGTCTCAAACTTGGGATCTCCTTGCCTCAGACTCCCCAGTAGCTGGGATATCAGGTGGGTTCCACTGCACCCAGCAGATTCTGGTTTTGATGGCCCATCAGTTATGGGAATGATAGAATTGCTGAATATCTAGATTCACTTTTCATTTAAAGTGCGAATTTGGGCTGTCGTTGTGGCTCAGTGGTAGAGCGCTTGCCTAGCATGTATGAGGCACTGGGTTCTATCCTCAGCACCAAATAAAAATAAATAAATAAATAGTTAAAGAAAACAAGAAAAAAGTGCCAATTTGGCAATATCTGTCAAAATTCAATATTTTTGAACCTATACTTTCTACTGACCTTATCCTATACCAAAAACATAGGTGTAAGGATATTTAGGGAAGTATTTTTTGTTCATTTGTTTGCTTGTTTCTTTGGTACCAGGGATTGAACTCAGGGATGCTTAATCACTGAACCACATCCCCAACCCTTTTATTTTTTCTTTTGAGACTGGGTCTTGTTAAGTTGCGCAGGGCCTTACTAAATTGCTGAGGCTGGCTTTGAACTTGCAATCCTCTTGCTTTAGCTTCCTGAGCTGCTAGGATTACAGGTGTGCACCACCGCACCCAGCTATGGAAACATTTTTTTTTTTTTGGTGGGAGGGATTATGGGGATTGAACTCTGGGACACTCAACCATTGAATCACATCCCCAGCCCTTTTTTGTATTTTATTTAGAGATGGAGTCTCACTGAGTTGCTTAGTGCCTTGCATATGCTGAGCCTGGATTTCAACTCCTGATCCTCCTGTCTCAGCCTCCTGAGCCACAGGAATTACAGAAGTGCATCACGTGCCCAGCAAGGGAAGCATTTTTGAGCAGAAATATTTGAAACTAGGAAAATGTGTCATTCATTAGACACATTCTATTGAGCATTATTCTAATTACCAGATAATAAAATTCCTACTCTTATAGGGATTTACTTTTTTTTTAAGTTGTACACACTATACCTTTATTTTGTTTGTTTGTTTGTTTATTTGTTTATTTTTTAATGTGGTGCTGGGGCTCAAACCCAGTGCCTCACACATGCTAGACAAGTACTCTACCTCTGAACCCCAGTCCCAGCCCCTAGGGATTTACTTTTTAATTCCATCAAAGGAAGATGGAATGAATAATTTATAATAACACTGGCAATGAATATTATACCTTCATCAAAATGAATAAAGTTTGTCAATAGATACTGCTTTGAAAAAATATTCAGTTTTTTTTTTAACTTTGGAAGCTTTTGTATGAGTTAAATTGAATTACAAAAGCAAGAAGTTATAAAACTATGTGCAATATTGTCTTATTTGTATACAAAAGTTATACACACAAAAAAAAGTTTACACACACACACACACGTATATATACTTATACATTAATAGAAAAATTGTGAACGTTCAAAAATTTTTAGTGACAACTAGCACTGGAAAATGGAATTGATGAGAGAGAGATTTTGCTTTTCTCTTTAGACCCTTTCATGCTGTTTAAAATTTTAACCTAAAGAATGATTGCTTTAAAAAAAAAAAAGAATGATTGCTTTTCTAATTTTTAAACTATTAACAAATATCCCATATAACCTTGAGATCCTGTGAGGTTTTAAATTTCCAGCAGGGGGCAGCAGTGACTCTCAAATATCTCTGACGTCAATGCTAAGTTGAGGATTAGGGTCCACAGGTTTCCAATTCAAGGTTGAAAATATTGTCGTCCTTGGATCATTGGATCACAAGGAACAAAAAGCAGTAACTACAAAAATTTTTGAATACTGTAGGAATTGTAACAAAACATTTTCTGTATGATTCTTTTACTAACATTCTCTCTGAGTCTAAACTGCCTTTTCCTCTATGCAGCATGGTGTGTGTGTGTGTGTGTGTGTGTGTGTGTGTGTGTGTGTGTGTGTGTGTGGTGGGGGGGGTGTTTGTTTTAGTTAACTGAGTATTGAATCCAGGGCAACTTTACCTCTGAGCTACATCACAGCCCTTTTTATTTTCTATTTGGGGACAAGGTCTGTCTAAGTTGCCCATGCTGGCCTGAATTTGGCAATCCCCGCCCCCCCCAGCCTCCATGTTTGCTGGAACTACAGGCTTTGCCACTATACCTAGCTTGAAGCTTGGTTTTGTAATCTGATAAATTCAGAAGGTTTAATAAAGTAGTCTTAAAAGTTCTCTTTCCATCTCTGAAATACTAAGGCTTTACAAATCAAAATCAGCATCAGGAAGAAACAAGCCCCAGTGCCCTCTGAAATTAATTGGCTTTATCAAAGAATCTGCTTTATAACCCTTAGCAGATCAGAATGAATTATTACCAGTTTATCTTTAGTGTAGATCAAAGAATACTTTTGGGGGGATGGGGGTGGGGGTATGCGTTGGTATTTATTCAATTCACTGATGGAGAAAAAGTACTCTCTCACTCTATAAATGTTTAGCATGTGTATAAAGGTCATAGGTCTGGTGTTCAGAAATTACATACAGGCTTACGAAAGAATCTTCCCCAGGCTAGCCAAATTAAACAGCAGGCAGTTGTAGAGAAATAAACAGAAGTTAACTTTTAACCACAAGTATCTGTTCTTACTGCTCAACAGGAGGGGCCGGAGAGGGTGAGAGGGCTCTGGCTACTCTACCAAGAAGCTGGGCTCTTTGAAAATCTCACCCTCCATCCACCTTTAGAAAACATACAGTATATATATTGTAAATATCGGAATCATAAACTTTTACAGTTTTTCCTTATGCTCTCATAGCAGCACTCTTTCCACAGATGCCTTTTTTTTTTTTTAAAGAGAGAGTGAGAGAGGGAGAGAGAGAGAGAGAGATAATTTTTTTTAATATTTATTTTTTTAGTTTTCGGCGGACACAACATCTTTGTTTTGTATGTGGTGCTGAGGATCAAACCCGGGCCGCACGCATGCCAGGCAAGCAAGCTACCACTTGAGCCACATCCCCAGCCCCGCAGATTCATTTCATCCACTTGTTTTCCTCAAGCTGTGAGTAACTATTGTGAGAAGTAGTTGATTGTATATATATATATATATATATATATATATATATATATATATAAAATAAATGGTTATTGTGTCACAATCCTGCCTCTGGCTCATATATATTGAGCACTTGCTAGACTATGTCAGGTGTGCTGGGGGTGAAAGTGTCAAAAGATGAATTAGACTGGATCATGCATGTGCTTAAGACAGTTTTTGAGGTTGAGGCAGGAGGATTGCAAGTTTTAGACCAGCCTGAGCAAATCAGCGAAGCTCTAAGCAAATAAGTGGAAACCTTATCTCAAAATAATAAAATAGAAATAAAAAAGGATTTGGGTTGTGGCTCAGTGGTTAAGTGCCCCTGCGTTCAATCCCTACCAAAAAAACCCCCATATTTTTGAAGGAGTGAGGAACCAACAAATATAACATGGTAGCATGTGAAAAATATTAAAGAAACATAGGCAAGGGTGAATAAACAGGGCAGCATTACTGGAAGGTTAAATCCTTGGACTGTGGAGTCCCCACTTCTTAGCTATAGGACCTCTAGTCGTCAGTTTCCTCGTCTGTAAAATGGGAATACTAATAATTTCTACTAAAGGTAATTACTAGCCAGGTGCAGTGGTGCCCGCCTGTAATTCCAAGAACTCAGGAAGCTAAGGCAACCAGAACTCAACTTTGAATCCAGAGGGATGTAAATCAGTGGTAAAGTACCCCTGGATTCAATCTCCAGTACCCAAAACAGAACAAAACAAGACAAAACAAACCCAAATTTTAGTTAATAATATTGTTTAACAAAGCTTAGACAAAATAAGAATCATTCATACAACCACATTTCTGGAATATGGCCACCCCTTTCTCAAATTATTCTGAAGTCTCCCATCACCAAAAGACACACTTCCTTAAGATTTATTTCTCCTCAGATAGAGTTGTTTTGTGTTTTGTTTGGTAGTGCGGATTATACTCAGGGATGCTTCACCACTGAGGCACATCCACAGTCCATTTTTAATTTTGAAACAGGGCCTTACTAAGTTGCCAAGGGCCTAAATTGCTGAAGCTGGCTTTGAATTTGCAATCCTCCTGCCTCAGCCTTCAGAGCCCCTGGGATTACAGGTGTGCAGCACCATACCCAGCTTATCTTTTGACTCTACTGTAATGTCTCCAGAAAAGAATGATGCTACAAGGGAGTCCAACTCCCACATTCCAGAATCTTAGATTAGGTCCCAGGGAAGGAGAACTGAGACCAGGAATGGATGTCAGGATGGGAAATCAAGACAGGTATGAGAATCACATGGATAATTTGTTAGAAAATGTCCAGGGCCTACTGTCTGAGACAGTCACACTGCTCCAAATTGAGTTTCATTACGTACTGCACCGACATTTTCAAAAAAATAATCACAATAAGGGCTTTCACATGATCTCCTTCTGAAACCAATTCCCTTCCCCACCAGTTTGTTTATTGTTTTTTCCCAAACACTGACTCACCTCTTTCATCTTTAGTCAAGGGCATTGCTTTGCAATGCTACAGTGGCTGCCCAGTTCAGCTTCTGAGTCTTGGCAGGAGGGTGTGTGAATTCTTTCATCTGAGACCCTGTGCCCTCTCACAGCCATACATGAACGAATACTGTGCCTCTCTTCTTTAGCCTACTGAAAACGCCTCTCCCGGAAGCCTTCCCTGATGAGTTTTTTACTTTTGCCTTGTGTTCTGTATCACAGATGCAATAGGGTTGTGGGAATGCAACCAGGGGTGTCCAGAGGTCTTGTGTTGAAGAGTTGTGGCTCTTCCCACTAGGGGCAGCATGGCTTTATGGAATAGGCAGGGACTCTGGAATCTCTTTGGCAGGAATACTTGCAAGTTCTCAAATTCATTCTGGCTGTCCTTTGTCACCTTGGAACTGATGCTTATTTTTGTGGGCTGTTGTCTTCCACCCCAACTCCTCTAGGCAGCTGTCCCTTGTCTTTACTTCTTTCTTTAAAGGCACCCCCTTTTAATCCTCTAAAGCCCTACTAACACTACCCCATGCACCCCAACTTTTACTGTTATGTCCTCATCTGTTCGTTGGGGATAATTATAGTCTCTTCCTCACTGGATTCTTGTAAGAATTAAATGAGATCAGGCATGTTCACAGGACTCAGCACCTGGCAAGTTATGGCAGTCGCTTTGGACTGACTTGCTCAAAACCCTTTCTAACCCCATTTCTGTCTTGCTTCCTGAACTATAGAAGCTGGAAAACTAAATACTAGACTTCTCAAACACTCTTGGAGCTACTGTTCTGTTTGTGATTTAGTTCCACTTGTGTGAGACATTAGAACTATGGGTTATATGGCAAGAGAGGCAGAATGTGAAGCATCCATTTTACTGGTGCTAATCAGGCAGAGATCATGTGATTCTGGAGCCAACAGCTATGATGGAAGCTTAGAAATTTTGAAGCTTTCAATTTATGATGCGTTATTTAGGATGTAACTCCATGGTAAGTTTTTTTTTTTTTTTTTTTTTTTTTTTTAAAGAGAGAGAGAGGGGAGAGAGAGAGAGAGAGAGAGAGAGAGAGAGAGAGAGAGAGAGAATTTTTATTATTTATTTTTTAGTTCTCGGCGGACACAACATCTTTGTTGGTATGTGGTGCTGAGGATCGAACCCGGGCCGCACGCATGCCAGGCGAGCGCGCTACCGCTTGAGCCACATCCCCAGCCCCTCCATGGTAAGTTGAGGAGCATCTGTAATTGATAATCTAGACTTCATTAAAATTAAAGATTTAGGTGGCACATGCCTGTCATCCCAGCAGCTCAGGAAGCTGCAGCAAGAGGATTGCAAGTTCAAAGCCAGCCTCAATAATTTAGTAAGACATTGTCAGCATGACCTTAGGCCTGAGCCTAAACAACTCCATTTTAAAACTCCAGTTTGAAACCTGCAGTCTTACCAGGTAGGCCTAATGGAGCCCTCCAGTATGGCCCTCAGACGTAAACAAGTCACCCTGCTAAACTCAAGTCTCTGAAAGGCGCCAGATAAGAGAGAAAGGCAAAAAGATCTGGGTGGAGACGACCAGACCAGATGTTTTAACCCCAGGGTAAATGAGAGTCAGTGGCAGCTGATAGGGATTGAAAGGGAGGTTAAAAGCCCCAAAATGTGATATAAATATTGGAGCAAATGAACATTCAGCCAGCCGACACTGATACACACAAGCCTGAGAGCCTGGTGAGGACCTGGACTGACATCCCAACTCTTCTCGTCTGCCTAAACATCTGTGTTGTTCTCACTGCTTTCAAACTCTATAGCTACATCTTGACCCTGGTGAGAGCCACAACTTCTCCCCCTGACCTCTGCTTGACCAGCTGTCAGCTCCACCCCAGGAGAAACCTGCCTTGGTTCCTGATCTGATCACCATGGTCTGAGTGAGTGTGCATCTGCTGGACTTAAAGACTAAGAGTTGAGACTTTTGATCTGACACTTGAAGTTAGCATGCGGAGGGACTGTCTGTTATGAGCCTGTCATGATTAAGTGTTTGCAGTACTTAGAATTAATCTAGAATTGTTTGCTGTGAATGAATTAATCTAGAATTGTTTGTTGTGAATTGATTATGTCGATTGCAGTGCAGAACATCAAGGATTGTCATTTCCTTGATTAAGAACCTATGGAGTGGGCTGGGGGTTTGGCTCAATGGTAGAGCAAGCGCTCGCCTAGCATGTGTGAGGCCCTGGGTTCAATCCTCAGCACCACATAAAAATAAGTAAAGGTATTGTGTCCACCTATAACTAACAAAACAAAACAAAACAAAAAACCTATGGAGTGAAATCGCATTAAGTGATTTGAGTGAATAAAATATTAAAAAGGGCAGAAGCACATGGACATTCTTTATGTCTCCCCTCACTGCAGATGTCACATCTTTTGTCTATTGTGACAGGCCCTAAGAAACTTAGTGAGACCCTGTCTCAAAACAAATAATAAAAAAGGTTGAGGAGGGCTAGGGATGTAGCTCAGTGGTAAAGCGCTTGCTTACTATGTATGAGGCACTGGGTTCGATCCTCAGCACCGCATAAAAATAAATAAAATAAAGGTCCATCAACAACTGAAAAAAAAAAGTTGGGGATATAGCTCAGTGACTAATCACTCCCGGATTCAATCCCTGGTGCCAAAATAATAATAATAGTAATAATAATAGGGGCTGGGGATGTGGCTCAGAGAAAGTGCACTTGCCCGGCGTGTGTGAGGCACTGGGTTCGATTCTCAGCACCAAATAAAAATAAATGAAGTAAAAGTCTGTCAACAACTAAAAAATAAATAAGTAATAATAATAATTATTAATAATAAATAAAAGTGATATTAAAGACTTAGGCTCTGTGAAGGACACAGTGAAGAGAACAAGAAGATAAGCCATAAACTGGGAAGAAGTATATGCAAAACACATACCTGATAAAGAACTTTTATCCAAAATATACAAATAAATTTTTTGGGGGGTACTGAGGATTGAACCTAGGGATGCTTAACCACTGAGCCACATCCCCAGCCCCACAAATAACTTTTAACACTCAACAGTAAGAAACTTACAACCTGGTTTAAAAAAAAAGGAGGGGAGGGCAAAAAACCTGAACAGACACCTTAACAAAGAAGATATGCAGATGGCAAATAAATATATAGAGAAAATGTTCTACATTATGTTATTAGGGAAATGCAAATTAAAACAACAGTATCACCATACACTTGTTAGAATGGCCCAAGTCCTGAATACTGATAACATGAAATGCTGGTGAGGATGTGGAGCAACAAGAACTCCATTCTTTGCTGATAGGAATACAAAATGGTATGGTCACTTTGCTACAGTTTGACTGTTTATTTATTAAAACTAAGCATACTTGAGAGAGGCATGCTGGTACATGCCTCTCATCCTATTGACTCAGGAGACTAAGGCAGGAGGACTACTAGTTCAAGGCCAGCCTGGGCAATTTAGTGAGGCACAGTCTCAAAATAATAATTTAAAAAAAGACTGGGGATGTGGCTCCTGGGTTCAATCACCAGTACCTAAACATTCTCTTACCATATAATTTAATGATCACTCACCATGATATTTACCCAAAGGAGTTGAAAACTGATTTTCACACAAAAGTCAGCATATGAACATTTATAGCAAGCAGCTTTGTTCAGAATTGTGAAAACTTTGAAACAACCAAGATGTCCTTTAGAAGGTAAGTAAATACATAAACTGTGGCACTTCAGATAATAGAATATTATTCAGCTCTAAACAGAAATGAACTATCAAACTATGAAAACAGCTGGGTGTGGTGGCCACATCCCTGTAATCCTAGCTACCCTGGAGGCTGAGGCAGGAGGATCTCAAGTTCAAGGCTAGCCTCAGCAGATTAGTGAGACTGTCTCAAAATAAAAAAAGAAACTGTGAAAAAAACATGGAGAAACTTTAAATGCATATTTAAAGAAGCCAATCTGAAAAGACTACATACTGAATAATTTTATGGTACATGTGGTACCTTAATATTCCTCTCTGGGGCTAGGGATGTGGCTCAAGTGGTAGCGCGCTTGCCTGGCATGCGTGCGGCCTGGGTTCGATCCTCAGCCCCACCTACGAACAAAGATGTTGTGTCTGCCAAAAATTAAAAAATAAATATTTTTTGAACAACCAACAGGGTAAAATTGGGAGTTCATAACCCACTTGAATCAAACTGTGAAATATGATGTATTAAGAACTATGTAATGTTTTGAACGACCAACAATAAAAAAAAAAAAAAAATATTCCTCTCCACTGCAGTGCTCTAACTACTAACACCACCATCCCGTGTTCTCCAACATCTACTATTGTATCTTCCTCTGTCAGTTGGGAATAATTAGAGTCTCTTCCTCTCTGAATTCTTTTAAGAATGAAAGGAGTTCAGGATGGCTTCTTTTTGTTTGATTGGTTGGTTTTTGGTACTGGGAATTAACCCAGGGGTGCTTTATCATTGAGCTACATCTCTAACCCTTTTTATTTTTTATTTTGAGATAGGATCTAAGTTGCTTAGGGCCTTGCTAAAATGCTGAGGCTAGTTTTAAATTTGCCATCCTCCTGTCTCAGCCTCCCAGAGTTGCTGGGATTACAGGTGTATGCCACCCTGCCCAGTTTTTTTTTTTTTTTTTTATGTATGTATGTATGTGTGTACATATGTATGCATTTTTGAAGTGTAGGTGATTGAACCCAGGGCTTTGTGCATGCTGGACATGTACTTTACCACTAAGCTATTCTCTCAACCTCATAATTGGTTTTTACAAACCAGTATGATCAAACTGCAGCATAATACTATGTGGTAATCTCCTTGAGGTTGGTCATAACTCAACAGAAACAAAGAACTCAATTTCTGGGGATGATTAGATGATTTGCCAGAAATCATCTAATACCCAAGCTTTGTCCATGGACCAGTGTGTTCAAGGAGCCTGGCATGAACAGGTAACTGGCTGGGTTAGTAGATGAAGAGAGTAGTAAGGAGATGTCTCCATTTATAGCTCCTGACTCAAACAGCCCAAGGGGGAGGGGGGTGAATTCTTTTGCAAGCTGAACATTCCAGAAACAGCTAAAAAACCAAGTTGAATAACAATGCAGGCTCACACCACAGGGAAGGAGCACAAGAATGCAGATTTTAGAGTTGGAAAGACCTGAGTTTAAATTCCTGCCTGGGTGTCCTTGGTTAATGTATTTAATATTTCTGAGCCTCAAATCCTTCATCTGTAAAATGTTAATACGAGTCTTTACTGAGAGTAGGTTGTGTGAGATATGATATAAGGTTTGTAAGGCATCTAGCATATCTGGCATATAGTAGGTGCCCTGTATATTATGACTTTTTTGTCATTCCTATCAATAATTAACTAGGCTAAAGCCTGGCCAGGTGGTACATGCCTGTAATCCCAGCAGGTTGGGAGGCTGAGGCAGGAGGATCATGGGTTCAAAGCCAGCCTCAGCAACATCAAGGTACTAAGCAACTTAGTGAGACCCTGTCTCTAAATAAAATACAAAATAGGTCTGGAGATGTGGCTCAGTGGCCCAGTTCCCCTGAGTTCAATCCTCAGTACCTCCCCCCACAAATTAACTAGGCTAAAATGCGCGTGCTCTCCCTCTCCCTCTCTCTCTCTCTCTCTCTCTCTCTCTCTCTCTCTCTATATATATATATATATATATATATATATTTCTTTTTTTTTTTTAGTTTTTTTTTTGGTACCAAGGATTGAACCCAGGATGCTTAACCACTAAGCCACATCTCTAGCCCTGTTAAATATTTTATTTAGAGAGAGAATCTAGCTGAGTTGCTTAGGGCCTCACTTTTACTGAAGCTGGCTTTGAACTCCTACCTCAGCCTCCTGAGCTGCTGGGATTACAGGCATGCACCACTGTGCCTGGACTTCCTTTATTTTTGATGATGAATACAACAAAATTTATATGACATTTGATAAATTTTAAAGAATAAATAGAAATACAATCATTTATCATATCCAAGGGGTATTGGTTCCAGGAACCCCCTCGATACCAAAATATAAGAAAATAATAAGATTTTTAAGGAGAGTAATTTATTATGGATTAAGATGAATAATTATGGTGTGCTAGGTATATAGTGCAGTTGGTAGAGTGCTTGCCTTGCATGCACAAGGCCATGGGTTCAATCCTCAGCATCACCAAAAAAAAAAAAAAAAAAAAGAAAGAAAGAAAGAAAAAGATGAATAATTATATAAAATTGTTACTCAAAGCCAACCCGCCTGCCACCATTTTGGTGACCATAGGCCACAAGGACACAGTTATCATGAAACCATCATCCAACAACTCTGGGACTCAGACATTGACAAAGAGAGCACATTTCAGTCAGGTTTCTCTTTTATATACCACTTTCATATCACATGAATAAATCCAAATAATCACTCATAAAGATTTCACAGACCTTCCTTCCTGTATAACCAAACAAATGAACAATGCAAGGGAAGCTGGGAAAAAAGAGAAGGTGTCCAAGTTCCGTTTCATGTGATCTTTTTATTATGGCCCTTATCACCACTCTTCCCCCACACAGATGTTCCCCATAAATGAGCTTGGCTCTGTGAGATTCATACCAGAATGGGATGGTCCAAAGTGGTTTGAAGAGAGGAACTCCCGCTTCCTGAAATGATTCTCTCCTGATATGAATGCAAATTTAGGAAGGAGCTGTCTAAGCCTTTTATAAAAACATATATGCCCAAGACTGATTTGATTTCCTTCTGTCCTTTTGGTGCCTCTTTTACTTACTAGAGTGATGCTGTGGCTTTGGCTCATGACTTCAGTGAGTGACAGCTGGAAGTCAGCCCTTTCCTCCTGTCCTGATTCAAAAACAGTGGGGCGTTTCCCATAATTCGAGGCCCAGGTGCTTGGAAATACTGCCAACTACTTCTTCCA